CCTGCTCTACTTCCTGGCTGCAATTAACTAAGCATCTCTGCTGCACCCTGCCCTTCTACCATTACATCATTGCTTTGGAGCCAGCCAACCATGGACCAGATCCTCTGATACTGTGAACCAATTGAACCTCTCCTTTTCCTTTAGGTTGTGGATATTGGATTTTGTGTCTCAGTGACAGGAAAACTGACTAATACAGTTGGCACAACAAAATTGCCTAGTAACTCATTTTTCAAAATTTGTCTCCCTTATTATGTATGCCTATACATGGATGGAAGGATAGACAGACAGACAGGTAGGTACATGGTGCCTAATGAGAAAGAAGCATTTCTAGGTGAGCTTTAGATATCTTAATTCATTGTTGGCTTCAAATAACATGTTATATATGTGTCCTAGTCTATTTCCTGTTGCCATGACAGTATACCTGAGATTGAGTTACAAAGAAAAGAGGTTCAAGTCTCTAGCTCGAGGAAGCATACTTCCTCATTTCCTGTTTTTCTTTTCTGTATTTTAGGTGGAAAATATCAGACCTGGTGGCCAGCTATCCCTCTAATCTTCACCCTGCAGATACTCTGCCATATTTCTGGGAGAGCTTGGGATAAACCCCTGGGCACTCAGGGGAGGGCATCAGCTCTGTGTTTCCCTTTGCTTTTGGCTCTGGCTTCTTGAAGCATGGACCAAAGTGTGATACCACTGTAATCCTATTTCAAACCCTGGATGCTGGGACTGTCCCAGCTAGGAGTTTTATGAATTGCCATGCCAGCTAGTGCCATGGTTCTTTAACAAGGGCCAAGTTTTATTGTTGGAAAATTGAGAACTGTGATTGATACAGTAAGAGCTGACAAGAGATTTTCCCCTTTAATTCCTACTAGTGTTTGTTCCAGTATCTGTAGATGTCAATTTCTCTAAGTAAATTAGAAATCATTGGTTAAGGGTGACATCAGTTATGATAGAATTGTGTTGAATCCTTTGGGTCTGGTAAAGAAATCCAATAAGAGGACATTCTTACAGTGGGCTGAAAATTGATTAGACCTCTGTATATAAAGGAGCAATGAAGAAATTCATGTTAATTTTGGGTGTACTGCTCCCACCAGATAAACACAAGGTTAATGAAATATTGTATCAGGGCAATTATTTGTTTGGCAAGGATGAGCCTGATTTGATGGGGTGGGAAGAAAAGTTGTGGGGAGGTGATCCCAACATGAAACCAAAGGTTTATTTTTGAACCATTTGGACTCTGCTATCTAATTAAAGATTAATCCTTTCATTTTGTGGGTAGAGCCAGGAGTAGGTTCAGCTCCTCCTAAGTAGCTAAGGTCATATTCAGAGTCACATCATGTAAGCGAACCTGGATGCCACCTCCTCTTAAACTGCTAGCACAGAGCAAAGTAGAGATTCTGGGTCTCACCAGTACATGATGGGTAGTGAGCAATCCAGAGGGTAGAGACTCATTCTCCAAACCTGCACACACATCTAGGAAGCAAGCAGCCTTCCTCAACAGATCAGGGCAGGCACCTCTCAGCAGCTGCTTTATCTGAGTGCCCACCAGTGTAGGGAGATGGTTGTCATTTCTATTTATAGAATCTTCTTTCTTTAAGAATGCACACACACACACACCACCAGATTTCTCAAAATGCATTGCTACACATCAAAAATGCTCTTCAGATTTTAATAGAGTATTTGCAACTATGTTCAAACAGCTGCCCTATATTCAAGTGAGATGGGTCACCATTCTACTTTAGGCTCACTGACCTGCCGCTCAGGGTAGACTGCAGACCAAGGACAAGGACGACATGTTACAAGGTGGTACTGATTGGGAGAAAAAAACAGATATCCAAAGTTGGAGTCTCATGCCACAATGTGGACTTAATTTGAAAGTTTTTTGAGTTTCTATGGTTCCATGGCCCGATCAAATGAAGGCATACTTTCTCAAGCTGTTGATTCTTCAATTCAACCTAAAAGTGGCATCAGATAGTCAAACCTGATCCACTTCAACTTAAGAGACATAAGGTCACTGTCTAAGTAATTCAGAGCCTTCCATACTATAGTGTACATGGATGCTTAACACCTGGTTTCCTTTTCATGGGGCTTGAAGGAAGTATGGTGGGAGGATATCCTGGGAACCACAGGTTGTTCCCCTGGACCCAAATTTCTCATGAGATCTCAGGTGAGCTGCTTTAAATCCCTGTGCTCACCTTCTGGGTCTGTGAAGACTCAACTCTGCTCTGAAGCTGAATGCAATCTATTTGTACTAGAGGCTAGAAAAATTGTTTAGCATTTCATTTTCAAATCCTATGTCTAGAAATAAATTTTCCAAAGATATCCTTACTGGTCAGTCAATACTTGCATAGAATAATTTCCACAATAATATTCTAGATGATTAGGCATTCCATGCAGACAAGCAGAATTCCTGAGAATTTCACTATATAGCTGGCATTTCTCTCTCTCCCCCTCTCCCTTTCCCTTTTCTCTCCCCCCCTTTTCCCTCTGCCTCTCTCCCCCCTCCCTCCTCCTATTGGGTGCCTTACCACTGAGTTATATCTTCAGCCATTTTTTTTTTTTTTTTTTTTTGGTTTTTCTCTGGTACCAGGAACCGAACTCACGACCTTGCGCTTGCCAGGCAGGCGCTTTGCCGCTAAGCTAAATCCCCAGCCCTTCTTCAGCCATTTTTATATTTTATTTGAGACAGGCTCTCACCAAGTTGTCCAGATGGGGCTGGAATTTGCAGTCCTCCTGCCTCCACCTTCTAAGTAACTGGGATTGCAGGTGTGCACAGCTAGGCCCAGCTGAGAGGAATTTTTCACAAGACTCACTACTTCTTCCCTTTACTCTCAGAACATTAAAATGTGAAGTATGGAGCCCGCCACCGGGCAGCACCTGTGAACCAGAGGCAAGTTTGCCTGCATGAGAGGGAGTCAGTTTGACCCTTCTAACATGCTTTGTTTTGCTCTCTCATAATAATTTTTGGATTTTACAAAAAAGTGGTAGCAAGTAAACTTTTTAAGTTAGTAATCATCGGAGCTTAACACACACATACACATACACATGCACTGTGCAAATATATATGTATACATAAAAGTTATGATAATTTCCATCAGAAGCTAAAGCAGATTATCACTTTCTACTCAAACAGTGCTAAAGCACAGGCCAAATGCATAATGTTTATAAGAAAGAAACTTCAGCATGCTGGGGATATAGCTCAGCAGCACAAGCACCTGCCTGGCAAGTACAAGGTCCTGAGTTTGATTCTCAGTACAAAAAAAAAAAAAAAGAAACTTAGAAAAAATTCTAAAAATGCAATATTCAAATCCAGGCTTTAAACACTTTTCTCAAATGTCTGCCTTGTTCCAAACTCCAGTAAAGCAGCCTCACTTTTACTGGCCTTGTAACTTGAAAAATGATTTTGGCTTAAGTTTCCTAGGAGAGTCTGTCCTGAGCATTCTCCCCACAGTCTCGATACTGCTATGACAGTGTCACATCAAAGAAGGCTGCTCTAATCAAGTCTAGATTTGGAGAACTGAGGATCCCCTTCCCCCAACCTTGCACACTCCAGACAGCTTTCAGGTGCTGAGGGCGGGGTCTAGCCCTCTCGTTTTAGCTTAAGCAAACAAGAGCAGAAATGCCAACTATTTATTTACAACTCCAACATGCCTAAATATGGTGCAATAAAAATATTTTAACCTGTTTTATCACAATAGCTATAATACCAGTCTTCAAGTTTCATTTGGCATCTGCCACAAGCCACATTTATCTTTAATATAAGCTGAATCTTCTCACATGCTTAGGAAATAAAACTATTTTTAACATTTATAATATTATTATTTATCTACTCCCGATATTTATGTAGCTCCTTGTAGGTGCCAGGTACCTTCTTGAGCCCTGAGTACTTAAAAAGCAAAACCTGCAGTGAAAAAGGAACCCTCCTACATTGTTGGTAGGAAAGTAAACTAGAACAGCCATGAGGAAAATCAGTATGGAGAGCCCTCAAAGAACTAAAATTGGAAATTTCATATGGTGCAGCTATTCTCTTTCTAGGCATCATCCCTGAAGAACTAAAGATAGCATATTATAGCTCTACATGCAGACTAGTGCTTATTATAGCAGCACAATTCATAATAGCTAAATTCTGGAATAAGCCTCTATACCTATTGACAGAAGATTTGATAAGGAAAATGTGATACCGATATACAATGGAATACTATTCAGCTATAAAGAAGGACAAATTTGAGACATTTGTAGGAAAGGGATGCACCTTGAAAATATAATGTTGAGAGAAATAAAACAGATACACAAGCTTAAATACCATATATATATATATATATATATATATATATATATATATATATATAGAGAGAGAGAGAGAGAGAGAGAGAGAGAGAGACAGAGTGAGGCAAAACACAAACAAGGCACAATGAAGGATGGGTAGAAGGAGACAAGGGGATAGATTTCTGGCAAATGGGAAGGGATCCAGGAGACCAAGGGTGAGTAAGGGGATCTCAGTAGAATAAAGATATGCCATGTACAGGAACCTAATAACCCCAATGAGTTATATTCCATAAACATGAGCTAAGATTAATAATATCAATAAGAATGAAGATGGAGGAAGGGGATTTAGCAGAGGTGGAAGAGAAGGGGAAAGGGATAAAGAAGAAACAAGCTGTATTACATACAGGTACCTAGTCCCCATGACTGTAGACTGTATATACTGCAGGCATGTACTAATAAAAAATAAATTATATGAACTGTTTCTCAAAAGGAGATACTTTAAAAAATTTAAAAAGACATGTAGATACTGCACTAAAGGTGGCCACAAGACCTACTCTCTCTACTAAATACTTGCTCCACATAGATATTGCTTCTTGTTTCCTTCAGAAATCGATCCTAAAATGTGTATAGGATCCAAGCAATGTGTGAGGTTCTGCCCATCTTTTCTTTCCAGCCTGGGCTACTTTAAAGACATTTCTATTTATGTATGTAAGAAAGGTCAAAATTGAAAACCATGATTCCAGTGTGCAAAAAAGGAAATATTTTCTTTAATTGATCTTATCTTACTCATGAGCTCTAAAATGATTCATTTTTGTCAACTGAAAAGTGACAAATTCTTTTAACACATCATGCAAAAAAGAGTTAGCTTGATAGGCCGGAGACTGCTATCTTTAGACAGACCTACTTGCAAGTTTGGCCCTGATCTAGAGTCTGGAAATTTGGATTTGAGGAGGGTTCTCAGCATTCCCAGAGATGATAAGAAAGCCTTCCTGTGCCTGAACTGCTCATGTAGACAATATGTGAACACATGCTCTCCTCCCCGGGGTCTGGAATTAGGCAGAAGTACCTGTGTGACCAGGCTTTGAGCAAAAGGGCCCAAGTATTCATGAACTTCCCTGGTGGGAAACTCTTCAGAACTGTGGTCATAACTTGCTGCTGGAGGAATGAAGTGAATCCTGGGTAATTCCAGTGGGAAAGGATCCTTGGAAGCTTTTGCTGGGTTTCCCAGGATTGTGCTCCCTGTGTCTTTCTCCTTGGCTCCCTGTGCTGGGTAGCCTTTTGCTGCATCAAATCTTTGTTGTCTCTCGGATGATATTCTGAATCCTGTGACTCCTAGAGAATCAGTAAGCATGCAGGTGGTCCTGGAGCTCCAGACATGCACATTCAGTATCTCTCAAGTGTCAAGCGCTTGTCTAGGAGCTGAGGATATAGCAGTTAGCCAAATAAAAGTCCCTGCCATGTGGACTTCATGTTCTATGGGGAAAGAAGGGAGAGGAACGAGACAGTTATTACAAAACAAACAAGTAACTGCTATAATGTTCCTGGTAAGAAGTGCTATGGAGAAATATAAAGTAGAAAGGGGTGCATGAGTTGTTGGGTCTATGGCTAACAATTTTTTTTTTTTTTTGAGACAGGGTCTTGTTGTGAAGTTCAGGCTGGCTTTGAACTCACAATGCTACTGCCTCAGACTCCTAACTGCTGGGATTGCAGGTGTGCAGCATCTCTCCAGGCTTAAGGGCTTGGCATTTTATATAGGGGAGTCTCTGAGAAAAATCTGGAGGAAATGAGGAAAGAGCCATGGGGTTATCTGGGGACAGAACTTTCTAAGCAGGGAACAGCTGGAGCAAAAGTCCTGAGGTGCTCTCACGTCCAACTCAGGAAGAGCAAAGAGATCTGCCCTGTGGCAGCCGGGCAGTGAGCAACAGGAAACGGGGCAGGAGGTGAGGTCTGAGAATGCGGATCAGTAAGCCACTGCCGGTGACTTTTATTCTGAGTGAGACGGAAGTCACTAGAGACTTACCGCAGCAGAGTGCCATTAAAAGATTTGCTCTTTCAAACATTACTGGCTCTTTATGGAAAACACACTATAGAGGTACAAAAACAGAACAAGGAAGGACAGGGAGGTGGTTGTAACGACCCGGGATTTGCGTATGGATTCGATGTGGGGTGCATGACAAAGAGAGGAATCAATGATTCCAAGTTGATGAAGTTGTTGTTTACTGAGCCGGGGAAACTGAGGTAGGAGCAGGTTTGCAGGGGGAATAGAGAATTCAGTGTTGGGATGTGTTAAGTTTGAGATACCTAATAGTCTAGTGAAGAGGTATGATTGATATTTCCATTTTGTCCGTGAGGGAAGTGAGGCACGGAGAGATTAACGGGTCTGCTTAGAGCTGCACATCTGAGCAGGTTATCCAGAGTCTGGTTTCAGGGCGACCTCCTGACCCTCCACAGCACAGAGCTCCCAATCCCCAGAGCTCCAATGACTTTTGAGGTGCAATAATAAATGTACTTAATAGAAATATATAAACAATCTTGAAAATGTTAACAATATAATAAATAAGAAATATTATTTATTATTGTTAGTAACATACTGCTGTTTCTCAGCTTTTGCTTGGCTACTAAGTAACCTGTAAAGCCCAGTTTTCACCAAGCAGTTGCCTATCAAGAATAGAAGATCTAGTCAGACAGTGCCATTTAACTCTGTTGTCCAGCCTGTAATTAATGAGTGATAATCTTACAATAAATGGAGCTGAGGAAAGAAAAAAGAGAAAAGATATTACTTTAAAATGTAGGAAGGCCCTCAGACTTTGAGAATACATATACAAAATTTATTCCATGCAGTGTTGTTCATGACTGCCAAATATGAGAAATATCCTAAATACCTGAATAAGAGAGTAGTTAAACAAACTATGAGATGTCCACAGAATGGAAAATTATGTAGCTGTAAAACAAGCACGGAGCAGACTTCTATGACTGGATAATGATTTCCAGAATACACTGGTTAGAATTTTTAAGAAGCAGAGTGCAAAATGATGATGCTATTTCTCATTGAAGAAAAAAAGGAAATAGTGTATGTGTGAATTTGTTTATTTCTATAAAGAGGGATGCAGGAAAGATACACCAAGAATGAAAAATAGAGGTGACCTACTAGAACAGGGTGGAAGAGGTGAGGGAATAGTGTCACTTTTCTGTACGTATCTTTTTACATAGTTTAACATCTGAGCCACATAAATGTTTTATATAACCCCCAAGTAATAATAGCAATGAAATAGCAATGAAACTGGGAAAAACCTAAGATGGTAAGCATCCAGAAACAAATACATTGAGTTGCATTTCAGATGAATAACCATCCACACCATGAGGAGGTGGGAGAGAGCCAACTCAAGTAACTTTTAAATGCAGCACATATTTCAATTAAATATTGTCACACTAAAGATAAGAACTCTAAAACAAAAGCTGAACTGTAGTTAATATTTGCTTTTCTAGTGGGATGGCTGGCCTTCTGAAACAACTTTCAGTGAATTCTAGGGCTTAGCCTCAAATGATAACACGTGGCAGGTTTGTCACTATCAGAAACGAAAATTACAAACCAGGTGTGGTGGCGCATGCCTGTAATCACAGCTCTTGGGAGGCCAGCCTGGGCTACATAGTGAGTTCAAAGCCAACCTCAACTACATAGCGAGACCCTGTCTCAAAAGAAGACAAAAAAAGAAAGAAAGAAATAGGAGTTACAGATATGGAAAGGGGAAATCACAGAATGACCCTGTGATGCTGTCCTGGGATTGGAAGTATCACTATAAATTCCTGGCTTTTAGATTGATACATGGATAGACACATGGATAGATATAGGTGGGTGGGTGGCTGGTTGGATGCATGACATTAATAGATTAAAGCATGGCATTGTCATGACTAGTCTATGTTGCTTAGACTCTTTTCAGGACTGAAGAATTTGTTCCAAAAATGCTACAACGCTGTCACAAAACAGCTCTCAGCCCTCTTTGGAATTGCCTCAGCTGAAGAGAGCCACCCTGCCCAGTTTATGAACCCTTCATGGGGCAGCTTGTTTCCAGTGATTGATCTATTCAGGGGCATCAAGGCCTGACTCCTCACACAAACTCGGAATAACTCTCAAGGACCAGGCATCACCAGCGCTCCTGAAGGTTCAGCTGAAGCTTTTGTGGAGCCTGCATCAGAGTCCATTTTTCCTTTGGCCCAATCCTGCTTTCTCTGGGAGTTGGTTCCCATAAGAGTTTATCCCTACAGCACTCCAAAATTAACTTTCTGCTTACTAAGGTCTATCTCAGATTTTGATGGCCAGGGAAAGCTACCTGTAAAACACACACACACACACACACACACACACACACACATCCTGGCTCTATCTGCTGAAAGAGCCTAAAGCAGTGGCATTCTAGGAACAGTGGGTGCTTCTAGTTCCCAAATATTAATTTCTAAATAATATTTTCCACTAAAAGGAACAGTGGCTCCTTGAAGAAATAACTGTCTGGAAAGATAAAATAAAAGTTGGGCTTGAAACATCTGGAACCAGAAAGTAAAAAAATATTTAAAGACGGACGGGAACATGTCAAAAGAATATAGGAAATAACTTGAAGAGTTCTCACTGGCTAAATCTGGTACCGTTTGAACATCAAAATAAAGGATAGTAATAAGTTATAACTCACTGAATAAAATAGGAGTCCATGAGTCTATATTGTTACAACTAAGACAATGAAATAAAAAATATAAAAATATGTGAAGGAAAAGCTCTTTGCTGTAGTACAGTACCAGTAAGTAAATGTAGAAGAAATGATGGAATGAGGGATTCACGATTTGACAAACATAATGGAAATAACTGACCTGGGCAAGAATTATCAGTGGCTGCTGAATTATTGGGCAAGAGTTTGGTGAGGAGTAAGATATCTACATAATCTCAAAGTATCTCCCCACAAAGTACTTATTGTTACAAAGGGGAAAATAACAGGTTTGTAGCAGGGAAAGAACATAGCCACTACCTTAAATAAGTGATCGAAGTTAACATCTCCAGCAGTGTGATAAATTGTCATCCTGTCTGGTACAACACACTGGGGACACATCATCTCCCTGCTCAGAATTCATGCCCTCAGTCTAATATACAGAGACATTAGACACACTCAAGAGACACTCTACAAAATAATTGGCTTTTACTTATCAAATACCAAGGTCATCGAAGACAAAGGCACTAATCCAGACTAAATCTGACCAAGACATTTGGCAATGTTTAAGCCTAGAATGAACTGTGGAACAAATTTTTTTCTTCCTCCATTTTGTCTTATTTTTGGCATAAAGGACTTTACTAGAACAGCTGAGAAAGTTTAAATAAGGTCTGTTGATCAGATAATAATATTTTATATTGTACATTTCCTGTTTTAATAAGTTTTACTGTGGTTATTTTAAGAGATTGCCTTTGTTGCTAGAAAATACACATTGAAGTATTTAGAGATGAGATGAAATCATGTCTGCAATGTACTCAAATGGTATAGAAAAATATCACACACACAGTACACAAAAAGGATAATAAAGGTGTTAAAATGTGGACCATTGGAGAATCTGGATGAAGGGCATAAAAATAACCTGTCTAAGGATCTCTTTGTGCCATTTTTGCAACTTTCTGCATACCTAAATCATTTCAAAGTAAATAAATCTTTAACTGACAGAGGCAATTTGTTTTATTGAGGTTTAAAAAAACAGAATAGACCAGGTTAACTAATTTTTAGTGTACAGCTAAATAATGGTAAGTATGTTTGCAACAAATATCTGGAACTTTTTATCTTACAAAACTGAAACTCTGTACTTATTAAATATAACCCCCCATTCCTCCCACCAGCTCCTGATAACCAGCATTCTACTTTCTATAATTTGCCTATTGGATACCTCATATAAGTAGAATCATACCACTTTTGTGACAAAATTTTCCTTCTTTATATATATATATATATATATATATATATATGGAGAGAGAGAGAGAGAGATACAGAGACAGAGGGAGACAGAGAACAAAACATGTATACACACTTCAGGAGAAGAAAAACTTGTATAAATATTTTAATACTAAATTTATCAAGACATCATGAGATTAATACAAGGTACCTTTGGCCTCTACAATTACAAGAAGTGCCCAAAGTGGTGGCCATTAGCTTCCAGACATTTATTAATATGGTAAACTGCTGCTTGGGGAAACTTGGTCACTGAGATTGCTGCACATGCATTTTCAATTTCTTTTCTAAGGGCCAGGAGTGTAGTGGGTTTTCTGCCCTATATGACAGCCTATATGGTTCCCTATATGAGGATAAAAGCATTTGTTGAAAAGCATCATACTACCTTTTGTTTTCTTGAAATTTATATAGACATTTTCCTTCTCTGTTCATCTATAGAGAGACATCTGGGCACTGCTCGCTTGCCTTCAAAAGTGAAGATATGCATTATCGGGGAAAAAC